GCGCACGGTATTTTTGGTGCGTTGTGCGGTCACACAACTGTAAGAGGACCATAATATTGAGCCTATAGCATGCCTGGATGAGAGGTTACGAAATGTGTTCAAATGCATAACATTGACCGACTTTTAAGGTCACATGGGTCAAATGTCCTAACATCTTTAAGCATATTCTTCTCAATATCCAAAAGGCCCATATACTTGGGCCTGTAGCATGATGGGATGAAGGGCTACCAAGTGTGTTAAAATGAATGACCTTGATCTACATTCAAGGTCACATGTGTCAAATGTGCTATATTTGAATAAAGTGTATGAGCTTACCATCCAAATAAATGACCTAGATCAGCTTCAAAGTTGCATTAGAAGCAAGTGAGCGACACAGGCCCGTTGGGCTTCTTGTTTAATTTCTGCACAATGTCTTCAGTAATGTTAGTTGGATTGCTTTCATACTTTATCCAGTATTTGTTTGAAGAAAGTGCTTGCTTTGAATAGCTTTACAGGCCCAGCGGTCAAAGGTCAAGGTCACTGTTATCATAAATAGAAAATTAGTTTAGGCACAATATTTCCAATTCCGTTGAGATGATTACACTCAGGCTTTATCAAGTGCTACCTCGGAGAAAGTGCCTGCTTTGGTACTTTTGTGGTGGTGAAAGGTTAAGGGCATTGCTACTTTAGAAAGTATTTGCTGAGGATACAAATTGTAGCTTTTGAGGCATCAATGTCAAAGTTCAAGGTTAATGTTACTATAAATAGAAAAACATTTCATGCACAATATTTGGAGCTCTTTTGTGACGTATGCACTCATACTTTATCCAGTGTAATACAATGTTTGCTTAAGCTTTTGGATAGCTTTTCAGCCTTTGATATCAAAGGTCAATGTCACTTACTGTAAATAGAACATCAGTTTGTGCAGTGTATTTCAAATTATGTTGGACTGATTACACTCAGAGTTTATCTAGTTCTTCCTGGAAGAAAGTGCCTGCTTAGGATAACTTTTCAGGTCCAGTGGTCAAAGGTCAGTGGGACACTATAAATAGAAAATCTGTTTATTGCACTAATGCACAATATCTTGATTTCTCTTGGGCTGAATACACTCTTGATCTTTTCAAGTGCTTCCTCAAAGAAAGTGCCTGCTTGGGATAACTTTTCAGGCCCGGCGGTTAGGTCTTTATCACTGTTGCTATATGAATAGAAAATCAGTTTATCAAATGCACTACTTATATTTTGAGTTTTGTTGGGCTCATTAAACTCAAGACTTTATCCAGTGGTTTTATAAAAGAAAACACCTGCTTTAACTAGTGTTTGCTATATGTATACCTAACCACAGTTTCTTTTAAATTTTCAATAAACATAATTGTGGGGAACAGTCACGGCGGCATTTAAAATATATTACCGGTTAGCTTGTAATAATAATAATAATAATAATAGTCTTTATTTAAACTTGATTACATATTGAGTCAAAGACTCGTCTCCCATATGGTCAAGCATATTAAAAATGATATTATATACAGCATTGTATTATGATTTTAAGTGTTTTTTTTCTTCGTTCTATTTTTTCTTCACTCACAGGGATGCAAGACTTACTATCAATGGTAAAACTTCACGTGTATGACAGCGGTGTAACGTGAATGGAATAACATTGTTATCAGCAAATTGTCAGGGTCTGGGCGATAAGTTAAAAAGGAAAGACGTTTTCTCATACATGAAGGGAAACAAATACAACATTTTTTGTTTACAAGATACGCATTTTGTTCAGAAAAATGAACATGTTATTATAAATGAATTGGGGTGCGATCGTTTGTTCAATTCCTTTAGGTCAAATACTAGGGGTGTTGCTATTATGTTTAATATTAACTTTGTTTTGAGGTAAAAAAGGACAATTTTGGAAGTTTCTTAGCGCTTGATACTATAATAGAAGGCACAGCAACTACTGTGGTTACTGTGTATGGTCCGAACCAAGACTGCCAAGATTTTTTTAAGAAGATCGTAGATGCTATTCATCTTTTTAATAATGATAATAATAGTATATGTGGTGATTTTAACTGTGTTCTTAATCCTAAGTTAGATTATGAAAACAGCTACAAGAATATTAGCAATCCAATGGCTAAGAATAAACCACCCTAATAGGCTTATTGATATTTTTTGGAATGAGGAGACTTGGAGATTAACACCAATAAAACAGGCTGGGCTAGATTACTTTCTTGTGTCAGAATCACTTTTAACCAGTATTCAATGGTCAATACTTTATTGGGAATAGAGTTCAGCTTGAATTTCCAGATAATCCTCTAATAATGTACTTGCTGTAATCAAGTTAAAGAAACTACAGTGCATTAATTATGGGAATACCAAGAAGTTCATTTTTTAAATCTTTCCTTGGTGCATTGATAATTCCTTTCCAATACAATAAAATCACAAAAAGTGTGATGTCCATTAGGCCATGCATACTCCTGGTTTTTTTTTACGGCGTGTCAAACGTCGCGCGCGCGTATTAATATGTAACCCTATTTGTATTCGTGTCTGAAGAAATAAAATATCAAAATGAAACACTGTATCTCAGAATTCATTAAACTTCGGCCATTAACACAAAAAGGAACTCTCTTTTATTCATCAGCGTAAGTACTTTATTGTAAGAACTATGTTTTATCGCGCAATTTTACTTTTATGCCGGTGTGTGGCATCGAGTTGTCCTGCTGTAGCGTTATGTGACGTTGCTGCCCTTGCACGAATGGAACGACGTGGGTCCGGAGGATCTCGTCACGGTAACGTAGCACGTTTGAATTCCTGTTAACAACCACCAGATGCGTTCTCACGTTGGCTGTGATGCCGCCCCAAATCATGACGCTGCCTCAGCCGAAAGAACGTCGTTGTACCACACACGCGTCACAAAACGTTCTCCAACGCGACGATACACTCTGGAACGGCCGACACTACTATCCAGGTGGACTCGTGACTCGTCCGTAAACAAAATGCCTGCCCAATCCCGTCGAGTAACTCGAAGATGCCTTCTGCACCAGTCCAGATGTGCTACATGATGACGTGGCAGAAGAACTGGGCGGATTGCAGGACGTCACGGACGGTTAGCTCGTTTACGCAATCGGTTCCGTACAGTTCTCTGGCTTATTGGTAGCAACCCAGGGATTGTCCGCGCAGTCAAACTTGCCGTTTGGAAGCGATTTCTCAAATGGACAAGCCGAATATGGTTGTCCTGTTGACGTGACGTCACACGTGGACGTCCCGCACGAGGTCGATCGCCGACGTGGCCAAACTGTCGTCTTCACAAATCCCGGATTGTGTTTCGATTGACATGAAAACGGTTAGAGACAACGGCTTGACCCATACCAGCTTGAAGCATACCAATAATCCGGAGGCGGTCCTTTTCATTTAACCTCCGCATAGCATTAATCACAAATTAAAACGTTATAATGCTGTTTTTACTGTTCACTGGTCTAAACAGAGTGACACAAGAGTTGAAAAATACAATTTCATTGTCGAATTGGATGTCTGGATGAGAAAAACATGCAAACTGGTCAACGCCTATAGAGAGTAAACTGCACGGGAAAAACTATCAATGACACACAGTTAGCGTGTATGTGTCATACTCGGTCATGTGTGTGAATGTTCATGTATATACAGTTGGTAATACATGTTCTATAACAATTCTCCGCATGTACAGTTTCTTTTTTCCGCTAGTATACTTATTCTCCTGATCTTTATCTATGGATACACAATGAATAGTCATAATTAAAACAACAGACATAAATCAGCTGCGAAAAGCGACGAAATAAGAAAAAAAAAATGATATAAATTAACTCACTACTCATGTCATGAAATATTGTAAAGTAATAACTAGATTAGTAGCAAAAATACGCCCTTTCCCTCGCAAAAAGACATACACTATATCTTTCTGATATCTAAATGTATAAGCATAAGAGAATCTAAGATGATTAAACTTCTCCTCTGTTTTACTAGGTAAAAATAGAGATCCCTTCCTCGGATGTGTTGAAAGGAGAAACATACTGAACTAAAACTTAATCTGAAGGAATATAAATATATATCATATTTTCTTCCTGACCTTTTAAAAACATGATCTGCATTGGAATTGTCCCCATTTTCCATATTTCAAAACCATAAAATTAAAATATATATTACTAATAATCGATGCATTTTACACCATTTATAAATGACTGGCCAATCGGACATCGTCGACCGATCAGATAGTAAGTAGTATGCTGCCATGACGCCAAGATGACCTGCGTCGGTCACCTTTAATATAAAATATCTCCTCAGAAAAAGCAATACTGCAAACCAGCATTCTATCAGCCAAAATAACCTAAAATGTTGCCTATTGGTATTTCAGATACCATTAAAGCAGGTCCACGATCATGTATTAGTTGAAGCTTTAAAACACTCTATCAATGCATGCTACTTGTCAAATACCCAAAACACATACAGACATGCACACATAATAGGACGTGTGATAGTATCAAACCATCAACCATCTGCTTGGTTTCTACCGCACGTCATTTCAATTAGATAACAGTATATAGTCGGCATAAAATCTGCGCTTTCACAAAAAGGGATTTGTACGAACATACCCTGCCTCTTGCACACATCCACACTTACAAATGTACAGGCATACACAACACACATGGAGGCAGGTCCTTAAATGACATTAGCTGTTAATAGGATGTTAAACAAAATAAAACCAAATATAACTATCACAATGATGATCGCCTTTCAAGACAATGGTCCAGCATATCATGTTTTCCTGTCATAAATATGCACACAAAGATGAACATATTGTTCAGCAATTACAATTAAATAAAGTGCAGCAGAAGTTCGGGATAAATGTTTGATTTTTTTTATTAGAACATATCGCAATATCAACAATTGCGCGATTAAAAAGCAATTATTTAACAATAAAATGATAACAGAAAAGGGGCATTCAAGCTTACTCAAAGCATAATTGTAACTCAAACTTATCTTTGAAAAAAGGGGTAACGTACCGTTTTTCCTGGGGAAGAGGACGTGACCGGCGGCGACAGCAGTGGCACCGGCGACAATGGCGGCACCAGCAGCGAAACTGCTGACAAAAGAGGCGTCTGTGCCGGCAACTAAGTCGACAACGGCGGCGGCGGCGTAAGCAGCGAGGGCGGCAACAGCGGCGAGGAAATTTAGCATATTGTCTGTAATATAGAAAAACACAATAATGATCGAACGCTGTATAGGTACAGTGCATGTCCCAACCTCCCCTTTTACGTATAGCTACAGTGCATGTCCCAATCCTTCCCTTTTACGTATAAGTAATGTGTATGTCCCCAACCTCCCCTTTTATTTATAGGTACAGTGTAGGTTCCCACCCTCCCTTGTTATAATCTATTGGTTTTTGTTTTGTTTTTGGTAATTATATACACAATGCACATGATATACAGCGTGGACAGACTTTGATGTAGGTCCAAGTGTTGCAAATGGGGAGGGGCATATTAGTTACGGTGTCTGAATTTGCCCAGTTGCAGGAGACATACACGTACCCTCCCCTTACCTCAACAATATATTAGAGATGCCCTCTTTAGGGTTTTTTCCTGATCATATACAATAATTGCCACGTTTATTTTATAAACGCTCCCTTGATATACGATTGCTTTTATTGTTGACTGAACTTTTTCAAACATAAGTTTTACGCTAGATTCCGGTTTGATTGTTTTGCGCAAACTTGTGCTTTTGTACCATCATGCATCGCTCTGCACATGCTTGTTAAATATTTTATTAAACGATAAGTCTTGTCTATTTTCTAGCTCATCCCGTAAGTGTATGTCGTGGAAGAAAGAATACTAGATCTACTGTTGATTATCCTTTGTCAGCACTTAACCTGCAACCAAGCAATATATTACTCTGATTTTAAATCTGATGTTACCAGTTTCATCAAACGTAACTGGCAACAAAGATAGTCAGATACTATCAACAATGAAATATTCGCGATTCAACAATTATGGGTGCAAGAAAGACCGTAGAGAGGATGATGTGTGTACAACTTCGCACGGCCACACAATTTTTACTTATGCGTACTTGCTTCGGGGGGAAAATCAGCCACTTTGTCATTCATGCAGCAAGCACATGACTGTGCCGCACAAAATGATCAAATGTGCCGATTTTAGACAGATTTGAGATCAATATGTTAACGTGCCTAATATGAAAACATTATTCAACTCAAGTTGTAAAATATTTCCAATATCTGCATGAGATTGGTTTATACCATACATTTTGCAATTTCTAAATGTTATTTATGATAATGTCTGACTATATTTGCTTTTGTGTTCCGTTTTTAAACATTACCTGTTTAGTTTTGTAATTGTCCTTATCATTATTGTCAGGTCCGATATGACTTCACCGTTGCTGAACCGTATTTGTTTTCATTCTAATTACACTGTTTTCTATGTTTTTACCCTTGATTCAGCATATAGATTAAATTAGCAAAGTCAATAATGTCAATATTTTTTTCCCCATAATAACAGCTGAAGAAAATAATTTGTTTCTAGTGAAATATGTTAAATGAACAATTTCTAGGGTCACTGTCAATTCTAGGCGAGAAAAGTAAACAACGGTTGCTATGGTGTCATTTGTGTGATGTTTTAGAATATCTGACATTTTTGTGTTTTTCATCGGTTACGGGAAGTGTGTCTGTTGCTAGTTAAGTCACCCAGGACGAAGTCGGGAAGAGTTATTGTTTTTGTTCAATTTCTTACTTATTCTTATTCTTATTATTAAGTCACCCCAGACGAAGTCGGGGAATCTTATTGCTATTGTTCCGTTTCTTACTTATTCATATTATTATTCTTCCGCCGTTATTGTTCCGTTTCTTACTTAATATTGTTATTATTCTTCCGCGGCTTTTATACGCGACCAATCTCAGGAACTACCAATGCGATTCTTATCATTCCGGCTCAACCATCCAATATGGCCACCGTCCCACTGATTGGCCGAAATCATATTTCTTAATAACATTTGTTCTATTTGATGGAACATAATGAAAGGGTTTATATCATCACACCGCTCATTTTCAACAAAAAACTCGCTGAATTTGATTTTAAAATGGCGGACAAATGCAGGCTTCTGATTGGTCGAAATTTTATATCGTCCAATTTTGATGAAATTTTGTATGTAGGTGTAATATAGCACTTCAAACACAACTGCGGTGTTCGTTGTGTTAAAAAAACCAAAATGGCTGCCATTTCCTGGCCTCTGATTAGTCAAAATTTCAATATTCTCTGATTTTCATGGAATTTGGTTTTTAGTATATTATGGGACACCAGTCACTTTCATAGTCTGATTTTCACATTTCGACAAATTGGCTGCCGTTTTCTGGCCTCTGATTGGTCGAAATTTTAATATCGTCCAAATGTGATGAAATTTGGTATGTATAGGTGAAGTTTGGCACTTCGAACACAACTGCGGTGTTCGTTTTGTGAAAAATCAAAATGGCTGCATAGTTAAGGGTGACTTCTGCTATTGCTCGCAATTGCAATTCTAGTTATTATTATCGGGGATACTTATTGGTATTGTTCCGTATTATACTTATTTTTCTTCCTATTATTATTATTATTACAAACTAAGCGGTAATAAGATTTCTGTATATATATATATATATATTAAATGCCGCCGTGACTATTCTCCATATTTATGTTTATTGGAGATTTAAAAAGAACCTGTGGTTAGGTATACATGTAGCAACCACTAGTGAAATATATAATATACATTTTTAATATGCTTGGCCATATGGGAGACGAGTCTTTGACTCAATATGTAATCAAGTTTAAATAAAGACTATTATTACTACTATTACAAGCTAACCGGTAATAAGATTTATATATATATATATATATATATATATATA